CTAATTCTGACTTCAGCTGTGTTTAGCACAGTTGTCGCAACCTTTCTTAAAATGCCTTCTCCCCCTTGGCTTTTACGTCATTACCCTGTCCTGGTTTTCTTTTTGTCTCTGACATTTTCCATCTCCTCTGCTAACATTTCCTTCCCTTAAATGTTATTGGTTCTCCGAGCTCAAACCTAGTCATCTTCTCTGCTCTTCACCCAGGTAATTTCCCTTTTAACATGGTTTCCAGATCTCTAATCCAAGACTTTTCCCTGAGCTCCAGACTTTTACTAGTCAGCTATCTGTTTGGCATCACCAGTCTGTCCACTTTCGTCAATTTTTACTGCCATCAGATTAGCCCAAACCATCATCACCTTAGCACAGGCCTCCACCTGTTTATTGCTTTTAAAGAATTATAGTTGTCCCTTAGCTGGTCTCTCTGAACCCACGTTGGCCTCATCTCCAATCCATTTTTCACATAGAAGACACAGTGATCTTTTAAAAATTTGAGTCCAGTTACATTACTCTTTACTTAAATAAAGCCCTTAGATGATTTCCCATTTTAAGTCCAAAGTTCTGCATGGGGCTGATAATTCTTCCTTCTTTCCTCTGTCTCAAAACTGTGTAGCCACATTAGGCTCCTTTCAGTTTCTCAAGTACACCAAGCTCCAGGCGCCTGCATCAGGTCCTCTTTTCACTTCTGCCTTTCATCTCCTTAACTCCCATCCATCCTTTACCTCTCAGCCTAAAGTATCACTCAAAGAAGCCTTCTCAGATGGCCTAGGCTTAGTTGGCAGCCCCTTTCATTGCAGTGTTCTTGCATATTCCTTTTAATGCCTTCTTAATAATTCTTATTTTAGCCTTTTTAATAATTAGTTCTACTTTGTATACATATTTATTTTTTTAATGTGAGTGTCCCCTAGCTGTAGGTGTCACGAGGATGAGGGCCAGGTCTGTTTTTCTAGCGTTATATCCCAAGGACCTTATCCAGTGGCTGGTACTTAGTAGGTACCCAGTATATTTAATGGAAGGAAGGAAGAATTGGGTGGCTTGCTCAAGGTCATCAAGATAGTAAGGGACAAAGGCCTGAAATTAGGTCTGTCTAACCCTGTCAAACCATATGGCCCCTTGAGCCCTTTCCACTGAGATATCAGGCTCTTGTAGTTAAACTGAAAATTGCCCCCTGTGCTTTACCCAGCTCGGCCTCTGCGCCTCCTGATTCTGTCTCCTTTTGTGTGGTTTCAGTGAGCCGTGGTGGTGCTGGGCTGTTCTGACCTGACAGGCTTACCTCATGACTCGGCTGAAATGTTGTGGGATTTGACCCTGCCTGCCTGTTGCCACGTCAGGAACTAGGGGCCTAACAGACGTGTTCCTGGACTCCCCCCTTCTGTCGTTCCCTCTGACCCTGCATCCTTTGCCCCGGTGTCCTGGTGGCAGAACTCTGGGGTGCTTTGTGGTAAAGCTCTTCCTCAGAGCCCTGCCCCTCTCCTGAGTTGAGCCTTCCTACCTCTTTTACTGCCTTTACTGTGGGCCAGAGGGAGTGGCCCTGCTCCTGTGCTACACGATTGTAGAGGGACTCAGGGCCAGAGCTGGACCCAGACTTTTGGTCTCCCCACTCTCTGTTCAGTAGAAGTACCTAGAAATTCTAAGCCAGAACACATTTCAGAGCCGTAAGAAACACCTAGAAAGGTGTTTCTCGGAGCCCCCTCTCTCCTCCAAAACTAACGTTCTAAGATTCCAGCTCTGATAGTCTTATAGTTAGTAGACTCCCCCAGGTCTTGGCCCTGCCCTCTGACTCCAGCGTATCCTTTTCCACTGCGTGTTGCACTCTTGATAAACAAATCAGAACGTTTTGAGTAACTGGCCCTCAGCCAGCTGAGTAGCTTATCTTTCTGCAGCATTCAGCAAATGTTGGAACCCCTTGGGTAGAACGTGGGTAGGAGTCAGAGCGTCTGGGCTCTAGTCCCACTTTGTTTCTCTTCTTTTCTGGGCTTTGGTTTCCCCAGTGGAGGGGCTGCTCTGGTGTTCTGTGATAGTAAGTGAGCCCCCCTTGAGCCACTTCAGATGGTTTTGCGAGAGGGTGAGGTTGGGGTGAAGGCAGGAAGCTCTATCTATATTCATGGGTTCTTGGAGCAGTGTGGCATCTCTGCCTTCCGCCTTTGAGGACTCTTGGGATCAGGTGGCAGTTCTGATGGCTGAGAGAGGGCATTCCTCAGCAGGGCAGCGTGGAGTGAGGGAAGCCCGCAGCTTGAGTGGAGCTCCTGGCAGGCATAGCTGTGTCTGCTCCGGGTGTGCTGGTGTCATCCTCCCTTGCTCCCTGTCCCAGCACCTGTGTGCCCTCCCCTCCCCCACTGCTATTCCTCGCCCATCTTCAGGGCTTTGGCTTTTTCAGAACATAATTGCTCGGAAACAAAAGGAAAAAACAGAACAAACTCAAGAAAATACACAAAGGCTAATAATAAGTACAATTAAATCTACCTTACAGGTACAGATAAAATTATAGTAAATGCAGGTGGCTTTTTAAAAAGCCATTACCATATTTCCCCATGTATAAGATGCACCCTTTTTCGAAAAATTTGGGGTCTAAAAAATGGGTGCGTCTTATACAGTGGTTGTAGATTTTTTTACTTGCATTTCCTGTTTTTTCGCGCTTGCTGTCTTTGCGCTCATTGTTTTGCACTTGTTACCGGTATATTACGGTAGGTTACGTTTTGCCACGTTCTGCCCAGAAATGGCTCAGAAAAGATTTTTGTACAGTGCTGAATTCAAGTTAAAAGTGATCCATTTTGCAAAAGTGAATGGAAATTGTGCTGCTGAACGTAAGTTTGGTCCTCCTTCAACTGAGAAAACAATGCGAGACTGGCTACGGGAAGAAGAAACCCTACTGAAAACGCCACGGCAGAAGAAGGCCATGAGAGGCAAGTCAGCAAAATGGCCAGATTTAGAGAGGGAATTGAAGATTTGGATTGAAGAGCAAAGGGCAATTGGGTGATTTGTCATCAGACACAGATGAGGACAAGCTAATGGTTGGGAGTTTTGACAGTGATGAGGAGTTGTATGAATTTTATGATGAATAAATCTCGAGTTCAATAACTTTATGTAATACATTTTTTTTCAAATTGCGGGCCCCAAAATTAAGGTGCATCTTATACATGGGAGCATCTTATACATGGGGAAATACGGTATATACTTTTGCAAGATATAAAGTTATGGAGATTAGTTGTACAACAATGTGAATATACTTAACACTACTGAACTCTATATTTAAAAATAGTTAAAATGGCACATTTTATATTATGTATGTTTTATCACAGTTTTTAAGACAATGAAAAGAAAAAACAGTAGGTCTTAGAAAATTTCAATAAATAAATTTCAAGTCTTTTCTACTTGGGATGAGGAGGAAATGATATGTAGCTATTTAACAGTAAACCACAAGAAAGTATGCAAACTATGAAATTTCTTTTTGAAGTATGGAATTGGTTATCTTTTGTAATTAACCATGGTAATAAATAATCTTTAATCTAAAAGTAATATATATTCATTGAGGAAAAATTGAGTACAGAAAAGCGGGCAAAAGGAAAAGAATCCTCTATAATTCTACTACCAAGCATCATTGGTGTGACCATCTGATATATTCCTATCTTTTTTCTTTGTATAGATATGAGCTCATCTTTACATATGGTACCAATCATACTGTGCCTCCAATTTTGTACCCTGCTTTAGACAATGTAATAATCTCAAGCTTCAGTGGACCGGCTGCCTGTTTATTCCCTTGAGTGTGTACCATAATTTGTTTAGGCATTCTTCTGTTGTTGGTCATTTATGGTTATTTCCATTTCTTTGCCTGTTGTTTTTCCTATTTTTTATTGTGGTAAAATATATGTAACATAAAATTTGCCATTTAAGCCATTTTAAGTGTATGGTTTAGTGCATTAATTATATTCACAGTGCTGTGCAACTATCACCACTACCTATTTCCAGAATTTTTCATCACCCGAACAGAAACTCTACCCATTAAACAATAATCTCCCATTCCCTCCCTCTCACCCCTGGCTACCTCTAATCTACTTTCTCTCTCTGAATTTGCCTGTTCTAGATATTTTATATAAATGGAATCAAACAATATTTGTCCTTTAGTGTTTGCTTTTTTCACTTAGCATGTTTTCAAGGTTCACGCATGTTGTTGCATGTATTAGAACGTCATTATTTTAATGACTGAATAATATTCTATTCTGTGAATATACATTTTGTTCATCCATCCATTTGTTGATGGACTCTTGGGTTGTTTCCACCTTTTGGCTGTTGTGAATAATGCTGCTATGATCATTGGTGTATGAGTGTGTGTTTAGCCCCTGTTTTCTTTTTGGAGGATATGTACCTAAGAATGGAATTGCTGTGTCATGTGGTGATCCTGTGTTTAACTTTTAGTGGAATTGCCAAACTCTTTGCTTCTTTAATTATAAATAATGCTTAAATGAATACCTGTATACACAAAGCTTTTTTGACATTTGTACTTATTTCTTTAAATTCCTTGAAGTGAATTTAAAGGGTGTGACAGTTTGCGATATCATGCTGAATGCTACCCAAAAGGATTAAACCTCTTTTGCTGCTGCCACAAGTGTCTGAGAATGCCCTTGTCACCAAAACAACATTGCACCAGATATTTTCCCTTTTGTATCTTAGGGAGGAGATGTTTCCGTGTCTTATAAAACCACAGTCTGGCCACAGAGTGGCTTGTCTGACATGCTCCTCGTCACCAGCCTTGAGTCCCTTTCCCTCCCCTTCTCCTTGTCCCTGATGCTGACACAGCCCAGTCTTCAGTCTTATTAACCCGACTTTCCAGCCCACCTCTGGTCTGCCCCTTTCTCCCCGTTTGCCCAGCGGGGATGCATGCAGCTTGACCTACCCCTGCCACTTTGCCTTCTCTCCAGAAGTCCTAAGGCCTCTGTAGTAGCTTCCCACTTGGGCTGTTTCTCATATCTTTGCTGTCTTTTCCTTGTGCTCTTCTTCTCTTCCAGTTCTACAGCGAATCAGGCATGCCTACCAAGCACCTGTCGGACAGCGTGTGCGCCGTGTGTGGGCAGCAGATCTTTGTGGATGTCAGTGAAGAGGGCATCATCGAGAACACGTACAGGCTGTCCTGCAATCACGTGTATCCTGCCAGGAGCTTCCAGGTCACACGTACACTCCAGTCAGGGAGGGGAGTGGCATGCCGTCCCTACCCTTGTAGGAGAGTCACAAGATGGCAGACATTTGGACGATAGTTCCCCATTAGAGACGCCAACACCCAGGAGCGGAAACCACAGCCTTGCCCACTCTTTCCCATAGATGGGAGCCACTCCTATATAAACAGTGTTGATAGCCTGGCTGGATCAGAAAGGAGCTGCACTAGCTGCCCCAAGATTAGATGGGTCACAGGGGAGGAGCATCCTCTAACGGGGCCCCTCAGTTTCAGAAGCAAATCCCTGTTAATAGCACTTCTAATACTTAACATGCACTTACTTAGCTTCCATTCTGTGCCATATATTATCTCCATTTTGCCCCATAACAGCCCTGTAAGGCAGAGATCATTATTCTCACTTCACAAATGAGGAAACTGGTTCAGAGAGAAGGGACTTGCCAAGCCCAAGATTATGCAGCCGATAAGAGGTGAAGCCAGGCTTTGAGCCTTTCTCCAGAGCTAGTGCATGGGCATCTTGAAGACTGGCACAGAGCTGGAGTGCCACCCTGGCTATCGACCATTTCCCTTGACCAGTGGCGCTCAGATTCCACGAGTTCTGCATCCGCGGCTGGTGCATTGTGGGGAAGAAGCAGACGTGTCCCTACTGCAAAGAGAAGGTAGACCTCAAGAGGATGTTTAGCAACCCGTATCCTTTGTTTGGGTTCTTGCTGGGAGTGGGCAGGGAACAAAACACTGGCTGGTGTGACCCTGCATTCGGGTCCTCCCTCCTCACCCCATCCTGGTACATGTTCACCATTCTATTTGGCCTCCGATCTAGGAAAGCCTGGGATGGAATTTGGGGCAGGACCAGCAGCTCAGCTTCTCTTATAGTTCTAGATCCCTTAAGTATAAATTGGTAATAGTAGCAGCTATCACGTACTGCTTGCTTACTGTGTGCCTGGCACTGTGTTAAGTGCTTTATTCAGATTAATCTCATTTGATTCTCTAGCAGCTTTACGACCTGGGTAGTAGTATCCTCATTTTATAGCATTCTCCCCTCTTCCTTTCCTCCCAGCTTTCTCTCTGTACCAGGGTTCCCTGTCCCCTGGAGACTAGCCCTTTGAGGGTTTTTGCTTGGTTCTTCCAGGGACTAGTTTAGGAACAGTTAAGTAATGAAGTGGTCACGCCGATGCTTGGGGGTTTCCGTTAGTTCTCAGGGACTGGGCCAGGCCGCTCTTTCTGACGCCTTTGGAGAGGTTCCCCCACAGTCTCAGGAGGTTCAACCTGTGCTTTCCCCAGAGCTGGAATCCCAGGCTCTTTCTCCAGATGTCTTGACCAGCGTTTAGCTGTGAAGCGAAAGGAAGGGAACTCATCTCCAGAGCCGTCTGGCCTCGTTAGGGCCTGGCGCTGAGTGCCCCTGGGTGGAGATTCCTCGGAGCCTCTGCCAGGGGTTATCCCCTGTGACCAGCCTCTTGCTTCCTTCTGCCTCTGCCCTAGACTCAACCTCTTCCTTGACCTTGAAAACCTTCCATATTAGACATTACAAGAACCTTCCGGGTTACCTTACTTCACTCCCAGCACCCTATAGACATGGTCACTGTTTATAGCAGTCTCAGGCTGTTCTCTCTCACACTGGAGTCCCATCTTAGAGAAGTTGGTACATGGGAGGCCCTCTCTGCATGTTGGTCATGGAGAGCTTAGTTTTACCTCTCTATCCTTATCTTCTTCCCGCTCTGTCCTCCTTCCCCCATTCTCTGGGTTTAGCCCTTTATTCCAACATGGAAAGACTAGGTGGGGCTTTCTAGAAAGCAACTGCCTTTCCTTGTAGGCTGATTGTGTGGAGCAGCTGGAAAGTGGGCAGTCCCCGGGCGCACATGGGCAAACCCTGCAGCCCATCCCCTGGACCAGCCTTAGCAGCTCTAATACATAGCCTCTTTTCTTTAACACACTGACAGCTGGGAGAGGCCTCACGTCATGTACGGGCAACTGCTGGACTGGCTTCGATACTTGGTAGCCTGGCAGCCTGTCATCATTGGCCTGGTGCAAGGCATCAACTACATCCTGGGCCTGGAATAGTCAGGCGGAAGAGCATCCGCCCACCTTGGACCTCAGGGCTCTCTCTTCCTTGCCCTTCAAGACCTCCTGGGTGGGAAAGACTCAAAGGGGCACTTGGGCCACTCAGGACCCCTCCGGCTGTGTCCGGGCGGGGGAGGGCTACGACGGCAAGCTAGCCAGTGGGGCTGTCAGCAGTGGGGGCTTTTTAAAAGAAAACTATTTTGATGAATATATTTAAAAACCTTTTTTATTGTGGAGCATAGGAATTGCCCCATCTCCTCCAGGCTTCGCCCTCCCTCCTTGAGCAAGGCAGGAGCAGAGCCACGACCTTTTTTGGTTTAAAGGAGCCTTGTCACCCCTGGCGGAGGGCCTCAGCCCACCCCCTTCCCTTTCCTCCCTCTGTGGGGCTCACGCGCGGTGCACTCAGTGTGGAAGAGCTCAGGCGGTCCGACGGGTGCCACAGTTGGGCGCTGAGGAGTGAGGTGTCGTCGCTCCTCCCCTGTCTGGGACACGGGATGTTGTGTCTGTCTGTCTTCCCCTATCCCGGAGCCATGGGCTGGTTGAGGGAAGTGAACCCTGGGGCTTTTCCAGCAGGGGAAGCCTTGGGGCCTCAGAATGTTTTGGGGATTTGCTTGGGGGCAGCCAGAAGCAGCAGTGGTTAGCCCGGAAGTGGTGACATGTGCCAAAGGCCACACGGCCACATCACTTCCTTCCCTGAAAGCCTGAGTAAAAATGTGTGCGTGCGTCTGTGTGGCACAGGGACTGTCATCAGTGTTCCTTGAAGCTGGCAGGGGATTCCCAGCCCAGGGAATAGCCGTGCTTCAGCCTTGTCATTCTCGGGTCCTGCCTGGGCCTGGTGGGTGGGGGAGGGGGAGGCCCAGGTGAGTGGCTTCTGAAATGGGGTTCCAGGGAGGCCTCAGTCCTGGTCCTAAGAGTTCTGAAAGAAGTAGGGCAGACATGGGCCTTCTGCACTGGGCTCCTGGGGCGTATGGCCCAGCTGGGCTTGCCCCTTCAAGGGCAGCAAGAACCCAGCTGGATCTTGTCACTCCATTCTGAATAAAGCTCCGTGAGCTGGGTTGGAAAGCTGAACATCATTTGCTTTTCTTCTTCCCACTTCCTTCCCCGGGGGTCCTGGGGGTGCCTGCCGTGGCTACTTTTTGCTGCTCCCATTTGAGAGCTGGGGCCCTGGGTGGTTGGCTCTGCTCAGCATCCCTGGGAATGGTGGCATGCCGGGCTCCTGACCTGGCAGATGGGCCCCTGGGGCGTCACTGGGGCGCTGTCAGTGCCAGTGCCCTGCTACCACCCCTTCTCGTGGGCCATTTTCATCTTCGGCTCTCTTACCCAGCTGTGGCTTCCCATGGTCCCCCACTGCTCATGCCCATCCTCAGAGAGTGGAATAGGGACTAGTTGAAGGTTCCAGGGATCATCCTTTTATTTTTGTCCCCCCAACCCCCACACCAGGCTCATGTGACAAGCTAAGACCAAGCTGTCCAAGGCTCTCTTGTCATATTTCACCAGTCCTGAGTCCTGTGACCTCCCAGTGGCCCAACTCTACTCTTCGTGACATTCTGAAGTAGAGTCCTAGCTCCTCTCCCTCCCATCCCCCCCAACCCCCGAAGGACTGTGTCTCTCGGAGCTCCAGCAGGCCTTGCCTCCTGACCTAACAACTGCTGGGGATGCCTAAGGAAGAGTTTCCCTGTGTCCTCCAGCCTAGGAGCTCAGGATGTAGGGGAGGAAAATGTCAAGTAGAGCCCTGGAAAAGATATGACTTTGTCTCTTGTGTCTAAATGAGGACTATGAGCCTGGTTTTTACACACACGCGCGCGCGCGCACGTCCTTGGGACTGCAGCATGTGGTGTGCCTGACACACCCTCGAAACCCCGTTGCATGTCCTGGCTATCCCAGCTCTCCCTTCCTCCTGATAACTGAAATCACTAACCTCAGACACTCAGGTCTTGTCCTTCACACTTGATATGTGCGTGCATTGGATCACCAGTCCTGCTCTTTCTGCCTCCGTGACCCTGACAGTGAGTGCCTCCTTCAAGTTTGCATCCCAGGTGCCTTACTCGCCTCACCATTGTCCTGGCCTTGCCATAGCCCCAGCTCCATTTGTCCTGTCAGCCACCAGACTAGTGTGTCTATAAAGCTCTGTCGTTGCTGGAGCCGGTGCTGGGCCCCTCCCCCTCTTCCCTGGGAAGTGCCGTTTCCTCCTTTTAGGACCAGCGTTCCAGCTCGTGCTCCAAGCTTGGCTCTGAGAGGTTCCTGCAGACAAGGCCAGAAAGCACTCTCAGTGCAGTACTGGCTCATATGGGGCCAGACACAGCTGAACTGAGCCATGGAGCTCCAAGAAGGGATTCTGCAAATCAGGGCTCTTCGGGCTTCCTGGAATCCAGGTAGGGGAATTTGGACTTCCTGGTGAAGCTCGATGTGTAGTTGTGGCCAAGGGGCTGGGATGAGGGAAGTGAGAAGGGCTCGTGGTACTGATGGATGGGTGTTGGCTTGGTGGTTTTGGGGCCGAGAAAGGTGAGGATGTGAATGGGCTGGTGTAACACTGAGCATGAAATGGTCAAAGTGACCCAACAACGTGGGCTCCCCAGTGCCTGGGAGAGCTGTCCCCTTGGATATCAGTGTGGCTGTGAAGGAAGAAGCAGGGGACCTGCCATGTAGAAGCAAAGGCCAGGCTCTGAAGAGCAGAGGTGGGCACTGAAGTCCTGACCCTTGGCCGGGATGGAAGAATTGATCTGTGAGACTCGTTCGTTCACACCCTTTGTGACCCTGGGAAGGCGAGGATAAGGGTGGATTAAAGACCATAGTCTGCCCACCCGGAAAGTAGGGGCTCGTGGGAGATAGCAGGGCCACTGTGAACTTCAGCTCAAGAAGAGGCAGCAGTGTGCAGGAACCTTGTTGTGCCCAGATAGCTGTCTGTAGGGACGCAGCATTGGATTGCAGTGTTGTAGGGTGTCTACTCTGAAAGGTCAGAGCAAGACAGCAACTTGGGTACATGTCAGCCGAAGGCGGTTGGCAGTGGCCCAAGGAATGAGTTGTAAGGCCCCTGCTCTGCAGGTCAGAGCTGGAGAGCAACTGGGGTACATGTCAGCCGAAGGCGGCTGGCAAGGCTCAAGGACTCCACAGGAAAGGGACAGTACGTGAGGGCCAGAGACAGAGATTAAGCAGGAAGCTCAGGACGGAACAAGGACGCTCCCTGTGTACTAATTGCTTATCCCCCACACCCGCTCGTGACGCAAATCCTAAATAGAGCTTTGTTAGTCCCCTTCAATAAAAGGATACAGACGACCTTTGAGGTCCTTTGCATCTGGCAAGGTCCCTCCACCTACTCGTCTCTGTGAACTTCTTTTCGTTATCAGTCTCTTTCGTTGTGGGTACTGTCCTCACAATCGGGCTCTGTGTGGAAAGTTGTGTCTCGTCGCGGGAAAGCTGTCCCCGTGACCCCAAGCTGTCGTCTGTGTGCCCTGTGTTAGTGGCCGAAGGCCTGCTTTGGATCCCTTGGTTAGAATAAAAGTGAAAGTGAAATGGGGGCGGGGCGGTGCTTTCCCAGGATTTCACTCTATGCTGCCCTTCCCAGAATCAGTTCTAGCAGTGAAGAGCTTTGTCTCCCTTTGTGACTAGGTAAGTCCCTGCCCCTCTTTGGCTATCAGTTTCTCTATTTCTATAATGAAAGGCTTAGTTTGGAATAATAACTAGCATGTTGGTGGTAGTAAGAGCTCTGGTGGGGAAAGACTGTCCCTAAGTGATCCTGTAGCTGTGTTTCTAAGTGCTGAAAAGCTCCATCCTCTGCTGGATGACTGTTTTGAGGAGTTTTCTTTTGAAAACTAGGAGCTTTCAACTGGGACAGATGAGCAGGAACAGAGTAAAGAGCAATGCCTGGCAGTCCACTGAATGATCAGACCTAGCAGGGGGCTGTGGAGTCTGGGGGGAAGAGAGAGCCATGTGGCTGTGATCTGAGATGTGGAGTAGCTCACGCATCCTTTTCCTACTCTGCCCCACCCCCACCCCCCAAAGAAGAGGAAGTCGTCGTGTATATAAAGCCAGGCACGCCAGCTCCTGATACAGACATCATGACCATGAGACAGAACTGGACAGCAGGTGGGACCTGGGGCTGCGCGAGGCGGGGCGGGGGATGGCGGGGGTGTCTGAGAACAGAATGGAAAGGTGTGGCTGCCCTGAGCCTTAGCCCCCAGGAGACTCCACTCCACTGTATGGTGTTGCTTTTAGCCTCTCTACAGATGCTGTGGCTCTGGCTCGTTCCCAAGTCTCCTTGTGCTCCGTTCAGAAAGGGCCAAGAGGTGGGGGCTGAGGGTCCTTCTGGCCCTCCGATTCCCTGGGCAGAGCCCAGGAGTTTCTGGGCCAGAGCTACACCCAGGCAGTAATACCCTCTCCAGCCAAGGTCCAAGCCCGGGTTCTGAGCATTCCCCAGCCGACCCACCGCTGCTGACCTCTGTGCTTCCTCAGACCCCAACCCTTTGTGGGTCCTGCTCCTGTGTGCCCACATCGTCTTCCATTTGGCCAGAGCCACACCTGTACCTCAGGCCACCACAGCTGCCACTGCCTCGGCTGGGATTGCAGAGGACACCACCTCCCAGCCGCCACCGCTCCCAACAGTTAAGCAGTGCCCAGCGTTGGAGGTGACCTGGCCAGAAGTGCAAGTCCCAATAAGTAAGGAGCGGTTCTGACGGGAGCCCAGGAGGGCACAGTGGTTGGAGAGCGGGCTGTGGGCACGGGGGGTCCAAGGGTAGGGTTGACTCCTGAACATACGCCCCTGCCCCCGTCTGCCTTATAGCTCACCACCAACCAGGCCAGCTTGGCCGAGCACCCGGCATCATGAGTGTTGGTGCAGGGCCCAGCTCCCAAGATGCTCCCTATAAAATGGGATGGAGAGAATTCAGACATAAGGAATGGTCAGAGGGCGCCCAGAGCCTTGGCTGCAGTGTGCCCTAAGGCCCAGCCCCTCTTCCCAGTGGCCACCTCAGAGAGGCAGTGGCCTGCTGGTGCTGCCTCGTTGGCCGGGGCTCCTAGAGTCACCAAAGCTGTACACTGGAAAAGGTCATCCTAAAGAAACAAGCTCAGGAGTCGTGACCTGAACCAAGGACTTGTCCCCAGATTCCTTTTGCTCAGCCTGGGCCTCCCTTGAAGACAGCTGTACTTCCCCTTTAACAGACTTTCCCACCTGGGCGAAGTGCCAGCAGCATTCCAGGCTCCTGGGCAGGGTGCCCCAGAATGGCAGCGGGAAGGGTCTGCTCTGTGGAAGGGCTGACAGCCGCATATGTCCCTAGATGGAACGCTGACCTTGTCCTGTACCGCCTGCAGCCGCTTTCCCCACTTCAGCATCCTCTACTGGCTGGGCAATGGTTCCTTCATCGAGCACCTCCCAGGCCGGCTGCAGGAGAGCAGCACCAGGTGAGGGGCGAGGTGGTGAGGCCCACCGGGGAGGCCTTCTACTGCGGGTCTCTCACAGCCTTTCCTTCTGGGCTCCAGGCGGGAGCGCAGGGGCGCCAGCACCCAGCTGTGGAGGGACTTGATGCTGGCGGAGCTGAGTCCCACCCTGCGCAGCACCAACTTCTCCTGTGTGTTCGCCGATCCTGAGTACACCATCCTGCGTCACGTTGTCCTGGCCCAGCTTTCGGTGAGAAACCCGAGGTAAGGTTTCCAGGGACCGGAGGAGCTCTGCTGTAATGTGGCTCCTCCCAGGGCAGCCTCCAGCTAATGCCCACCATTCCCCCAAGTCCCCAAGCCTGAGGTGGAAACTAAACAGAACTCAGGGCTCAGGCAGAGAAGGCATGGCCTACAGCAGGGGTCGGCAAACTTTTGAGACGGAAGAGCTGCCAGGGGTCAGCAAACTGCGGCTTGCGAGCTGCAGGCTCTGAAGTAAAATTGAAAATGAAAATAAATTATCATAGTTTCATTTATAAAAATTTTAAAGGATATTCACATAATGATGATAATGTAATAACATATTTGTGGCTCTCGAATAATTTTTAAATTGTTGTGAGGGACAGGATTGGCTCTTCCAGGGATCGGCAAACTTTTGAGACGTAACGTACCCAAAGAGCTGCATGAGGCTCGCGAGCTGCAGTTTGCGGACCCCTGGCCTAGAGGAAGTGATAAGAGATGTCCCTCCCCCCCGGCCCTGAACCTTGTCTGCCTTCACTTTCCCCAGGCTGGGCTGAGGACAGTTGATTCCCCTACGCAAGAAACCCTCCAGAGGGTCCCCTCTGCCTCGCCATCCTGACGGGGTTGAATTCTGAAGCCTGGTAGAATCGCCACCTCTTCATTTCGGTCTTGGCGCTCTCAGCGAAGGCCACATTCTGCGTCCCACTTAATGTTACATTTGTACAGGCATACCTCGTTTTATTATACTTCAGGATACTTTTTTTCTTTTTTTTTTTTTTTTTTACAAATTGAAGGATTGTGGCAACCCTGCGTCGTTAGTCTATCAGTGCCATTTTCCCAACAGCATTTGCTCACTTCGTGTCTCTTTGTCACATTTTGGTGATTCTTGCAATATTTCAAACTTTCCTCATATTGTATTTGTTACGATGGTCAGTGATCTTTGATGTTACTATTGTAATTGTTTTGGGGCGCCATGAACTGTGCCCATGTAAGATGGCGAACTTAATCGATAAACGTGTGTTCTGACTGCGCCACGGACCGGCCGTTCCCCATTTCTCTCTCTCTTCGAGCCTCCCTATTCGACAATATTGAAATTAGGCCAGTTAGTAACCCTACAGTGGCCTCTAAGTGTTCAAGTGAAAGGAAGAGTCGTACGTCTCTCACTTTAAATCAAAAGCTAGAAATGATTCTTAGTGAGGAAGGCGTGTCCAAAGCCGAGGGAGGCCGCAAGCTTAGGCCTCTAGCGCAAAACAGACGAGTTGTGAATGCAAAGGAAAAGCTCCTGAAGGAAATTAAAAGTGTACTCCAGTGAACACAAATGACAAGAAAACGAAACAGCATTATTGCTGATATGGAAGAAGTTTTAGGGGTCTGGATAAAAGATGAAACCGCCACAACATTCCCTTAAGCCAAAGCTTGATCCAGAGCAAAGCCGTAACCTCTCTTCAAGTCTGTGAAGGCCGAGAGGTGGGGAAGCTGCAGAAGTAAAGTGTGAAGCTAGCAGAGGTTCTTGAGGTTTAAGGAAAGAAAGAAGCTGTCTCCAAAACATAAAAGGTGCAAGGTGAAGCAGAAATGTGCTGATGTACAAGCTGCAGCAAGTTATCCAGAAGATCCAGCTAAGATAATGAAGATGGCTACACTAAACAGATTTTCAATGTAGACAAAACAGCCTTATATTGGGAGATGCTGTCTAGAATTTCCATAACTAGAGGGGTCAATGTCTGGCTTTAACGCTTCAAAGGACTTTGTCTTGTTAGGGGCTAGTGCAGTTGGTGACTTTTTGAGCCCAATGCTTATTTAATTCCAAAAATCCTAAGGCCCTTTAGAATTATGCTGAATCTACTCTACCTGTGCTCTATAAATGGAACAAAAAGCCCATTTGTTTACAACATGGTTTGCTGAGTATTTTTTAGCTCATGGTTGGGACCTATTGCTCAGAAAAAGATTCCTTTCAAAATTATATTGCTTATTGACAAGTACCTGGCTGCCCAAAAGCTCTAATGGAGATAGACGTGTAAGACTGTTTTCATGCCTGCTAACACAACATCCATTTTACAACCCATGGATCAAGGAGTAATTTCAACTTTCAAGTCTTACCATTTTCGAAATACATAAGGCTGTAGCTGCCATAGATAGTGATTCCTCTGATGGCTCTGGGCAAAGTAAATTAAAACCCTATGGAAAGGACTCCCCATTCTAGGTGCCATTAAGAACATTCGTGATTCATGGAAGAGGTCAAAATAATTACCACTAACAGGCTTGGAAGACGTTTCCAACCCTCATGGATGACTTAGAGGGCTTCAAGACTTCAGTGGAGGAAATTAACTGCAGATGTGGTGGAAATAGCAAGAGAACTAGAACTAGCCTGAAGATGTGACTGAATCGCCACAATCTCATGATAAAACTTTAATGGATAAGGAGTTGCTTCTTATAGATGAGCAAAGACAGTGGTTTGTTTTTTTAAACTTTATTGGGGGAAGTGTTTTTTTCCAGGACCCATCAGCTCCAGGTCAAGTTGTTGTTTTCAATCTAGTTGTGGAGGGCGCAGCTCACTGGCCCATGTAGGAATCGAACCAGCAACCTTGGTGTTATGAGCTCGCACTCTAACCATCTGAGCTAACCAGCTGCCCCAGAAAATGGTTTCTTGAGATGGAATCTACTGGTGGATGCTATGAACATTGTTGAAATGACAAGAGATTTAGAATATTACATAAACTTAGTTGATAAAGCAGCAACAGGGTTTGAGAGGACTGACTCCAATTTTAAAGAAGTTCTACTGTGGGTAAAATGCTGTCAAACATCATTATTGATACTGTAGAGAAATCGTTTGTGAAAGGAGAGATTGTGGCCAATTTCATTTTAAGAACTTGCCACAGCCACCCCAGCCTTCAGCAATCACCACCCTGATCAGTCAGCAGCCAGCAACAAGGTTACAACTTGCTAAAGCCTCAGATGATGGTTAGCAATTTTTAGTAATGATATATTTTTTCATTAAGGTATGTACGTTGGTTTTTGTTTTAGATATAATGCTGTCATACACTTAATATACTACAGTACCATGTAAACAACTTTTATATACACTGGGAAGCCAAAAACGTCATGTCTCATTGCAGCAGTCTGGAACTGAACCTGCACTGTCTCTAAGCTATGCCTGTACGCTTTATTGTCCTCCGATGGGAAGGGATGGGCGCCGAGGCTGCTCCTGATCCACAGCCGTGTCTGTGGCATCCCCAGCGGGGCCCACACGGGCATTCCGAAGTGATTCTTCAGTGGAGGCATGCTGACATCTCATTTAGGCCATACTTCCATTCACAGAACTTGGCCCAGTCCAAGAGGGACTGGGGGAAGAAAGGGACTGCCACTCAGAAGCTCTAGACAAAACTAGATTCAGAGGACACAGGCCCTCAGAAAAGGGACAGCCCATAATGCTCCCCGAGCAGGGGCCAGAAAGGGAGTATGAGAAGATCCTGTTGTGGCCCCAGAAAGGCCAGGAGGAGGGACATGAAAGAAGGTGGATGGTCCAGGCAGGAACGAAGGTGTGCTCTAGAGAGCCCAGCTTTCCCTTTCCACAGACCAAGGCAGCTCAGCAGTCAAGGGAGAAAAATAGACTTTATTTACAAGTAATAACATTTAGAAAAGATCCATCCCTGGCCCTTAACACATTGAGGACGGGGCATTTAAATGTATGGACGCAAATCTGCGTCACCGGTCCACAGTGTGTTAAAAAAACCTTCCCAGCACTCCAAATCCCATCCCAGTACAAGTCTGGGGAAGGTAGGGGATGAGCTGCCGCTGAAGGCTGCCCTCACACGGGCCGTCTGTCCTGGAAAAGAGCATCCTCTGGGCATCCGTGCCCTTGGATGGGAGCTCATGGGGACTCCCACTAGGTCAATGCCCAGTCCTGGAATTTAAGAGCTAGAGCCCCTGCTAGGCCCAGCCACCAGGAGCAGCAGGGACGAGGGCCTGCTCCTCCAATGGTCCCTTCTAGATCAGAGGCTGCGAGGAGAACTGGCTGGGTCAAAGGACCCAGCCACTCCAAGCCAGTCTCAAATCTGGTTGTGATGGAGAAGTGACTTTGCTCTGCGAAAACATCAGGAGGCAAGGTAGGGAGAGGACCCAGACTGTCCAGGCTCCAGGCCAGCTCTGAGGAACATCTGTTCACCTGGTGGAGGCGCTGGTAAAGGTCCCGGTACCAGGCCGAGGTGTGGGCAGGCATCATTGTCTCTAGGGGTTTGGCCACTGTTGGCCTGGGAGCTGAGAGAAGGCACTGAGAGGGACAGGAGAAGGACCAGGCAAGGTCAGCATTGGGACACAGGTGGGGCCACTCACCAATCCTGGCCCTTTAGTGCTTTGCCTGAGTGAGAGAGAGAGAGACACCGTCACTTAGCTAGGTGGGACCTGGGATGCCAGCCGACACCCTCCCAGTGAGGCCCCCCCTGTGGCGTGGCCCTGGACACTTCCACCTTCAGGTTACCAGCTGCATGCTATGTCTAAGCAGCTCTGGGGGTTGTCACAGGAATGGAGTTGTCTGTCTCCTCTCACCCAGAATAGCTAACCAAGATGGGGAACACCTGCTCTTAGCCCCAATCTCCAGCAGCCTAGCTCAGCCCTGCCCTGGAGGCTGCCTCACGGGTGGTCTGGGGGACTACCCATGCTCCCACCCGATTTCCTGAATGTCACACCCTCCCCCTTCCCTGTCAATGCCCCCACCTTGCCCTTGGCCCGAGGGGTGGCAGTGGCCGCAGCGATGGCAGCAGCAGTGGCAGCGCTGGCTGTGGTGGTGGCGATGCGAGGAGAGCGGCGTGTCCCGCTGCGGGTGTTGGGGGAGGAGGCCTTGGGCAGGGCTTTCTTTGCGGCCCCCCTCCGCAGAAGGCTATTCCCAAGCTTCTTGGGTGTGTTGAGGATGCTGAAGGTCATGGACTGGCGGCGGTCAGCCTGTGGGGAGGGGCCGTCAAACTGGGCACTCCACTGCTGCCCTCCCAAGCCAACCTGCTCTCGTGTTCCCCCTCCAGCCCCCGACTAACCTGTTTACCAACAGCTGGAGCTGCTTTCTTCTGGGCCTCCGTGGTGCTCTGTCTGCGCCCTTCGTGTCGGTCCCGGTCCCGGTCCCGTGGAGTCATGGGGCGTGGGAAACAGCTGGTGGGCTTCTTGGACTATGGGGAAGAGACCCATGAGGCAGACAGTGGCAAGAGGCCTTCATATCCTCAGACAAGGGTCTCAGAGCTCAGTGGACCTTAAAAGTCAATTTGTCCAACCAGCAGCACCACCCCAACCCCTCCAGAGCCAGACGCCTCCCCTTTAATCCACTTGTCAAACTTGGTGAACTGGGCTTGATGTGGGCAGACCACTAGACAGAACAAAACAGGAGCCAATGTCACCCACCTCAGGAGTGCCGGGACCCTGGTGGGGCTCTAAGGAGACACGTTTGCGCTGCCGGGTGGTGATGCCAGCGCCCTCGGCTATCTGGGTTGGCTGCATGCTAGCTCTGCGCAGGGTCTCCTGAGGGTCACCGGTTTTCATCTCCTCATCTGTGATGGTAGCCAGGCTCAAGGAAGGCTGCGTGGGGTGGGAGAGGTCGTCAGTGGGCCCACGCTGTTTGGAGCTGGGGCGGGACTGCCTCAGGCTCTTCAAAGGCCCAGCATGTGGAACAGCTCACGCCTGCCTATCGCAGAAGGCCTCCCTCCCTGTTGTCTTCAGTGCCTTTGCCCTGCACGATGGCCGCAGGAGAGCAGTCCCAAGCTGCTCTCCGAGCTCCTATCCACCCACCGTGACTTCACCCCTGCCAGCCGTTCCACTGGACGCACAGTCACCCTCCCCAGGAGGCCAGAGACCCAGGGCACTAGTGCTTGGGCTGGGTCAGCAGGTGGCACTGGGATGCAGTGTCAAAGGAAGCAGAGGTGATCCAGTGTGGGCAGTCCTATGCAGGTGACCCCAGAGCTCACCCTGGACTCCAGGGGGTAGCAGGTCTTCAGGTGCGGGGGGCAGACTCGATTTCGCTGCTGCAACTCTGCAATGCGGTTCCAGTCGTCCAGCTGCTCAGGTTCATCCTGGCAAGTGCCCATGTAGAAGCTGTTCCTTCCTGGGAGAGGGTGGGGTGCAGAGGAGTTGTGGGAGGTGGTGGGGCTGGAAGGCCAGGAGGAATGGGGATGGGGGCAGCAGGTCGCCCACTGCCCCTGGCATCTCACCAGTTGCTACCACCACTCCTGTTCACCTACCCCATAGACTTCAATGCAGCTTAGTAGCCCAGAGTCCTGCTCTGCTCAGAGCTGCAGAAACAGGAGTGGGGCTCACAGAACATTTCTACCATGGTGGCTGGCTCACTGCACTCTCCATGGGGAGGTTGAGAGATCATATGCAGCAGCTGTGACGCCAAGAGAAACTACTGGAGGGCCAGGAACTGATACCCAGGAGGTCCCTGAGAACAAGAGCCTCTAAGAAGAATCAGGATACAGCACTGGCCAGCCTGGCCCTCTGGCAGCCCATGACCACCTCAGAAGAGCATCAAGAACTCCCAACAGCCTGTGAGCGTCAGTGTCATGCTGGGATTCCCAGGCCCCTTGTGAGAGCATTTCCAGCTCACCCTGGCTGAGCCATCAACCTGATTGCCCAGGATAGGTCCTTGCTGGACAGGCAAAGCTGCAGGAAGGCTTCCAAG